AGAGGGTGACAAGAGACATGGGATCTTTGTGCCAGCAAGGGGTCGAGCCCATTCAGGTATAAAAACAATCCTGAGAGATGTGTATGGTGGAGTGTTTGGAGGAAGGCAGTCTGAGTTCTTTTCTAGAAAGGTGCCTGACTCAGGAGGACCAAGAATCTGAAGGCTGGACCTCCTCCCCTAGGCTCAGCACAGGTTACATTGAGCTGAGCTTGGATTGTCTGCTCGCAGCTGGTAGCCCCTTCTGCTATTTGCTTTGGGGCCTCCTCATCATTTACTTGGAGGCACTTCTGTGGAACCCTCCCCTCAAGGGAGCAAGAGGAAGGCTCTAGCTATTGTTTTATGACGAGATGCTGGAGGTATTACCCGACGCCTACCGAGGCCCACACTTGATAAAGAGGACCGACACATCAACAAAGTCAAGTTCATCAGAAAAGACACAAAGGAGCCCACCCCCAAGATACTTTGCCTTGGAAAGAGCAGCTCATGAACAGAGGAGTAGGGGTTGGTGTACATCCCTGGGTGAGGGGGATGGGGACTCATCTAAGAGTACCTTCTTCCAGGTCCCTTCCTTCTGCCTCTACCTTCCCCTGTCCCATTCCTGCCCCACTTTTTGCCCAATGGCAATTGCCAAATGGCACCTCTGTGAATGACCTGAGTCCCCGGGTGCCCTGGCCCTGGAGGCCATCTCTGAGCTGGGTGGCTAGAGAGTCAGGAAGGCAGAGGGCCGCCTTCCTGGGGCCAGTGGAGACCTTCAGGGGCCTCCACTTTCCTGGGAGGAACCATGATGTTGGCATTAGGAAAAATCACACCATTGGATTGGATCTGGGAGATGTGGCTGAGCGTTGCTCACGGGCTTCAAACATTTAAGGATTGAATGGAATTGAATTGACAGTGTCTCATTCCCATTGCCCTTAAGGCAAAGGGGAGCACTACTCAACCACGAGATGAAAACAATGAAACCAATAAAGAGGAGAGCCCCCTCTCCCCCCTCCCTCTGCCAGGAGATTTCTGTATGGCAGGTGAAAATATTTATGTATTTGACTTTACAATTATGACTCTTTGTCCACGCACATATACACTCTCACGTTCGAGGTCTCATACTTTTCAAAATAAAAAATGGTACCGTGTCCATTGCACATGCTCAGAAAACAAGTGTTTGAGTTGCTAAGTTTTTAACTTTGAAGTGTTTAACTACAGGTGGTAGACTTAAAATGTGAATACAGCCCCCACCCTTGCTCCTTAGAAACTCCACAGAGTCTCTCTACTTGTGTGATGAGCAATTTGAGTTCTCTAAGAGACCCTTCGGTGAATTCTCACAACTAGGCATGGTGCTTAATCAGGGTTTGTGGAGGATAGCGTGAGGAATGAAAGATTTTCTAGAATGTCTAGGTGGCTTATTTCAACTTGACGTACAGGAGAATGTTGCCATTTGAACGTGTAAGAGAAGTTATAGGACAGACTCTGTCTGGTGGCTAAAATTCTCACTGCGCCCTGCGTTGCAAACACATACATGGGTTTTGAAAGAAGATTGAGGCTGAAGGAATGTCAAAAGCAAGGACCAGAGTCTTCTAGAGAAGTCGGTCGGCCCAGGCTCCGGCCTTGGCAGGTAATGTCATGTTGCCCAATGCTGAATATTTCTTGGGGGCAGTGAAGCCTGGGGGGTGTGTGTGGATGTATTCCAAGGAAAAGAAGAGCCACGAGCGGGATCAATATCATTCTTTTTGAGTCCTAGCACCTCATAAAAGCAGAGGAAAGGGGAAGGGAAGATATTCATCCAACAGCAGGGAGTGAGGAACAGAACGTACAGCTCCATAGGCAGGATTCGGGGTTTTCATTGGTTGGGGAAAGAAACGCAAAGGATCGAAGAGGATGCAGAGGTGTGGGTGAGCATCCCCCTTCCTCTGGACTCTCAGGGTCAGGGATGGCCTCTGTGAGGGAAGGGCTTGTCTGGGTGCAGAAAAGGGGCTGGGATCTGAAAGATGAGGGTCTTCTGCCTGGCGGGAGGATGGGGGTCCTGGGGAATGGGGTGGCACCTTCCCTTCCTCCATCTCGCGCCCACCTCTCCCTGCCCATTCCCCTTCTCATCAGAGCTGCGGGCACGCCACTAAGTTTTTTTTGCCACTAAGTCATAAACATCAGGAAGAGAGGCCGGTGGAGAGGCTCAGGGAAGACGGCATGGAGAGGGATGCGGGCCGAGCGCTCCCACGCCCAGCCTGGCCTCCCTGAGACTTTGCTGGGAGTCCAGCGCCCTACACTACAGAGCAGCCAGATGCATCCCAGCTCACCCCCCTGGGGGACGTAGAACGGGGAGAAGGGCCCCTCCTATCAAGTGAGATTCTCTGTTTCTTAAAAGAAGTCAAATATGCTTCATTTCCTTGAGCATCCCAGCTGAGTCCAGCTCATTTTGGAGTAACACAAGTGTGGGGTCGGTCCCAGTTTGGGAAGGTGTCAGGACAGAGGAACACAGCACCTCTGTCTCTTCCTGGAACAGCTACGCTGTTTTGGGCCCACAGGTTCTCTTGCTCACACTTTCTAGGACGCAGAGCCAGCCGTGAACCCTTGCAGAAAGCCTGGGTTGGAAAGGGCCATGCCCTGGTTGCTTTAGGGGACCTTCGAGCTTAGCTGTGAATGGACACGTGATCCACAGAATCTGTTTCCTTGGGGTATTGCAGGTTCTGGTGTGTGTAAGCTGGAGGAAAAGAAGTGATCTGTGTCCTTGAAGGGAAGAGTGGAGAGGTGCAACTGGTTAGATTTGGGGGAAGATGAGGTGAGCTGTCAGAATCTGAGGGATGTATACAACCTTGGGCTGTGTGGCGCTGGGAGACAGGGAGCCCCTGGAGAGTTGTCCTAAGAAGCTCTGGCAGGAGACAGTGTGGACATATTTTGTGGGATGTCAGGTAGGAGTGAGCAGTAGGGCCTGGGGTCGGGAGTAGAGGGCTCTGCCTAACACCTGTTCTCATCCACCAGCTGTCACGCCTGCATTTCTCAGACTCTCTTTTTTCAAACCATTTCCTGTCCCCTCCCTTTCCTTCATCACCCGATTTAAATATGGCTTGAATGGTGGTCATCATGTTCATGCTTCCTAATCCGCAACCTGGAGGGGCCAGGGAATCCGCTCTCTGATAGATGTGACAACTTTGCCTTCCAGATGAATTTCACCATGGAGTTTTCAAGTTCTTTAATGGACAAGTCTGAGTATAAATTAGTACCACCTACCCAAGCCATAGTTGAGTGCATTTACATCATTATAATTTACTGCATTTAGCTCTCCAAGGATCCCTGATTCTTTTTTCTCTTTTTATAATTTTGAGAATGTCTTTGCTTTCAGCAAATCACTTTACTTTGAAGATGGGTAAATTATCCAGTATTTGATACCTTTAGTTACAGACTTAGGAGTGGAACTTTGTCAATATACCATCCAACTGTTTCATACGCATCTAGGAAAGCAGTCTTTTTTGTGGAAACACATTTATTTTACTTTACTTTCTTCTCAACTATCAGTTTCCAGCATTGCTGGGCCTAGGTATTTAGAGAACACATGTTATGAGATGAGCGAGAAGAGAATTGTCTTCATTTTGTCCCTTTCTCTGTGACTTCTGGCAAGCCATTTAATTGTCCAAAGCCTTAGCTCTTTATTTGAAAATGGGATGGCAATCCATCTCTTCTACCTCGATATATAGAGTTGGTCTGGAGAATTATGCACACATATACACACATACACAACAAAGCTTCTGTGCCTGAGATGCCTGTCATTTTTTGCTCCATAATTGGCATCAAGGGAAGGAACAGGGACTCCTTACTACTGATGGTGGCCCCCTTGTTTATGAAGATACACACACTCATCTTTTCCTATGATGTGCATTATTGGACCTTCTGTATTTGATTCCTGCCATGGTCTTGCCGTTGGCAATAAATACATTTCCAGTCCTGTGCTTTTGCCTTTAGCATCAAGACCAGAACAATTCAGCATGAACTCCAAAAATAGACATTCCACCTGACCTTTAAAGAGTGTTCATGGTTTGTCCCGTGCTTGCCTCTCTAGCCTCATTTCTCCCAAGCCTCTCAGAGCTCCGGGTCCCTGGCCCACTGTGGGCATCTTAAATCTGCCGTGATTTTTGCTCTGCTCTTAGGCGTCGCTCCTGCAGTTCCTTCTACCTAGAACACCACTGGCCTCCCTCCCCTCCTGCCCATTTCAACTAGGCAATTCTTACTCATCTTTCAGATTCCAGCTCCATCATTCCTAGAGAAGCCCTGCACGTAGATTAGATTAGGGCTTTAAACTCTCCCAGTGCCGTGAGCGGCTCCTTTCAAAACACCCATCACAGAGAAGTATGATAGAGTTACTTGTGATCTCCATCAGGCAGGGGCTGTCCTTCTGCTATCAGATTCCTAATGTCCAGCACACAATAGGTACACAATAAGTATTTGTTGAATGCATGAATGAGTGCGTTTAGTATTTGAAACTTGGCTTTGTGCCTATTAAGAGAGGAAGCATCTGGACTTGATGTTGTCCTGATTCCCAATGAACCCCATTTGCAAAGCTTCAGAGACAGAAGCAGCCATGGTTCCTGCCCCTTGAGCAAAGAACCTGTTAGCTCAGTGGCTGGGGAAGAGGCTGAGCCTTTTTCTTTTCCAGGGTAGGCCCCCAGTGGAGCCCTAGAGTGGTCAGTTTGTCTTCTGGCCCTTTGGCCCCTTTAGGTCCTCACCCCCTCAGGTGCCCTGGGCCCTCATATCTTCTTCCATATCCTGGTAGGTTCTTATGCCTGCCTCTCTGTTCTGTTCTGTCTCCAGCACCCTTTTCCAGCACTGGCTGCCCGGCCTTGAGGGGCCTCCCCATCTCTGAACTCCTCTTTGGGGTGTCTGTGTCCTTCCCTGGACTGTGAATTCTGTCCTGCCCTGGGCCTGGCCTTCAACTGTTGCCTTCAACTGCCATCAGAATGTTCTATCCTTAAAGTTCTCAGGGGTTGGTGCTGGAGCTCTGCAGCCGGGGGGGGAGACTTGGAGCACAAGGTCCAGGGTTTCACCTTCGGAGTTGGCTCAACCTTCAGTGAAACGCAGTAACCACACAGCAAAGCATGGTGATTCGATTTTCTAACCAAATTCGTACCAACTTTTCAAGGCGGTCATGGCTGCCTGCCCGACCCCTCCGGCCTGGTTTCACAACCTCACTGGGCTCTCCCTGCCTTAGCTGAGAAAAACCCTCTCGTGGGTACATTAGCAGACCCAGCTGAGGGAAATTGGGGGCCGAAGCGCTTCCTGCCACCTCACTTGGCCCGGCCCCCAAGGCAACTCTGACCCTAGGCTGCCGCTGTCCCAAAGCCGCTCCCACTCCAAGCCTGTAACCGCCTCTGCTTCTTTACCCCACCAAGGCTAGGGCCAGGCCTTGAGGGCGAGGGCAGGCCATGTGCATAGCTCAAAGAGAGAGTGCAAAAGTGTCACTTAGAGTGGCTTCCCCTTGGTCACCAATGTGTTTATCTTTAAGAAATATGAACTTGTGCCCCCTATCTCCCCTCAAATCACTCAGGCTCGGCCAACTCTCTTCTGGGCTTCTGTCTCAACTGGGAAAGTTGGGGCTTCCTCTCTCTCTTTTTTTTTGTTTAAATTTTTTTATTGTTATGTTAATCACCATACATTACATCATTAGTTTTTGATGTAGTGTTCCATGATTCATTGTTTGCATATAACACCCGGTTGGGGCTTCCTCTCTTATTTGATTGTGTCTTTAAGCAAACCCTGATGGTGTGTGTACCTGAGAGCTAAAGGCCCTTCCATTGCAAGCTGACTTTGGACCCCAGGTCTTACTCTGGCCACTCTTGGTGCTTCTGGAACTGGGCATTGTCCTTCTCTCATTCATTCATTCATTCATTCATCCATTCGTTCATTTAATATCTGTTGAACACTGATGTGCCAGGCACTAGCTAGGTACTGGGAATACCAAAAGTGTCAGACAAACAGAAACGGATGCTCACCCTTAGAGAACATCCAGTCTAATGGGCCACCTCTGTGAAGGGGACACCTGGTTGCAGGGAGGTACGTGAGCTAATGGTGCAAGCTGAGGCTGGGGACAAAAGCCAAGATGCCATGAGAATTTGCAGACCGGGTTTAAAATTTTAGTTTTTGTCCTAGAAGACTTGGGGAGCCATGGAAAGATTTTAAGCAGAGGACAGACGTGGTCACATTTGGGGTTTTTTGAAAAAGACTCTAGCTGCTGTGTGGAACACCAGTTAGCATAAAGGGAGTGGAGATTGGTCAAGGAGTCCCTTGGGCAATGCTGGTGGCTAGGATTGGGAATGCTTAGGGAGAAGTGGCGGAAAATGTAACCTGTGTGGAGGGGGATGACAGACCATGGGGGCAGATCGCCGAGGGCGGTTGGGGAACCCCGAATGCAGACGCTGGAGGAGGGACACAACTGTAGGATAGGTTTGGGGCATATTGAGTTGAGGTGCCTTTGAAGGGAGGGGATATTCGGGTTGGTAGCCCCTGGGAGAGAAGTGGCCTGGAGATAGCCATTGGTGAATTTTCTGCTTTATGTGGTTAAATTCCATAGGAATGGCAGAGCTCGCCAGGGAGAAAGACTTTTGTAAAAGTGAGGGCACCTTGCGGGCAGAGAGGAGGATCTCTCAAAGGAGGCTGAAGAGGAACAGCCAGAGAAGTAGGAGGGAGGCTGGGGAGTTGTGGCGTCACAACTTGAGAGAGTGTCTCTGTTTTCTCTCCACAACTGTTTGCCTTTGTGACAAACACATCTCCTTCCTCCTGAATGTGGCACGTAGGGAGCAGAGTGGGAAACCAGGGCTGATGCCCTCTGGGCGGGGTATGCAAGCGCTCAAAGTCTGGGCAGGAGGGCCAAGGAAGGCTCTGGCAAACTCCATTAGATTTGGTGGCGGGGACAGGTACATCTGAGAATCGGGACAGATGTGGAGAAGCTTGTGGAAGTTCAAGGCTGGGTGGGAGCATTTTCACTGTCTACAGGTCCATGGGCTGTGAGTTCAGGGACATTATAAAGAAAGGGAACAAGGAGACCGGGGGGGGGGGGGGGGGGGGAGAGGAGTCTGTTGGGGGGTTGGGGGGATTAAGAAACCTGACTTGGGGGAGATTGTCAGGGGGGAAAGCAAGGCCAGCTTCCATGGCCTGTTTGGTCTTGAGATAGGGAGAAGTGTGTTTTCTTGCCAGGATGGGCATGTTTCTTAGAGAAGCAAGAAGCAGGAGGAGTTTGTCACTGTTAAAGGTAAGAGAACAGTCAGCAGGGAGGAGAGGTACCATAGGGAAAACCAGTGAGGCTTTGGAGGTCCCTGAAGGGAACAGGTCAAGGATACGGGATTGTTATTCCAAATGTATGTGGGCTCTGAGACAATCTCTGAAGCCCATCCAGACTTATTAGAGCTGCTCAGAGCATACAGAGCATGCCCAGGGCCCAGAGAAAAGGGGCGGTGGTGAGGCAGACTGAAAGAAGCCGGGAGGGTCAATGTGGGCCACAGGTTAAGACAACCTCAGCAGATAGAGGCGTCCCATCAGATCCCCTCCACCAGTCTCTGGTGGAGCAGCATGCCACAGCTAGTGCAGGCAGCCTCCTTCACCCCCCGCCAAGGCACTGGGTCTGGCCACCGTTTTGTGCCTGGCTTTTCCAGATAGCCCCCAACTGCAATCCCTCACGGTAAAGCCCTACGGCATAGAGGCAGGGCAGTCCTGCCAAGGTACAGGCTTGAGGCCACGGCCAGAGAGAGGAGGTCGGGGGCTGGGGGGTAGGCAGAGCAGAAAGAGCACTTTCATATCCCCTTTGGGGTATGGCTTCCTCACTTCCTCATGCCTTCCAAGGCAAGACATAATGTTGGGACAAAGAAATAGGTTTTCAGGGGGAGACAGGAAACTCAGTGTGGGTACCAGAGGTGGCCACCATTACCCTGAAGGGATAATTTTGGAGTGGTTCTCCCAAGGATTGGGGGGTGGGCAGCACTGCACCTCCAGGCCTCAATTTCCCCACTTGTAAAATGGGGATAATAGAATAGTCTCTACTTCAGAGAGTTGTTGAGGGTTCTGTGAGTTAATTTTTGTTTAGAATACTTAGAAAAGCCAGACACATCACAAATGCTGGTAAATACTATCATGATTTCACGAGGCATTTTCCAATTACATGAAATTCTTGGACTTTGGGGGCACAAACTACATCTCCTATTGATGTGACTCTATGCTGCTCAAAAAGTAGGCATTCCAATTTAATGATTAAATAAATGATGATAAGATTCAAATTTAGGATTACATATTAGGATCAGTTGGAAGAAATTTTCCATGAATGCGTATTAGAGTGGAAAGTGTGAAGAGTAAGCTGTCAGAAGACCACAAATGTTTGTTGTAGCATCTTCCATATGCTAGACTTCAGTGACCATCATGATAGAAATGGTACTTACGTTAGCAGAGCTGATGACTCTGTTGGGGAGACAGACACAAGTTTAAAAAATAATTACAAATTGTGATTAATGCTATGAAGGGGAAAAACCCCAGTGGTAATAAGAGGATGGAGGGTACTTGACTTTAGGTCATGAAAATCTCTGATAAGTTGACATGAAGCCAATGATTAGCCACTCAAAATTGGTTATGGAGGTGTTTGGGAGGTGAGGAGAGCATTCTGGACTGGAAAGTGAGTTCCTTATCCAATTAGGTAATCTCAGGGAACTCTGTGAGCAGTGATTTCTACATTTGTAAAATGAGGATAACAATGTAACATTTTACATTGTAAAATGACCACAACAGAGTTGGTGCGAGGATAGAATGAAATGATGTGAAAGAATTCTGTTAACTATAGACAGATGCGCAGACAAAGAATCCAGGAGGAAAGAACTCACTGATCATTTCCTTTCACTTTTTCTATTCATTAAATTTGGTTCTGTGTCTAATATGACTATAGTACACAGAGGTCTCTCTGGGAGGGGCAGTGGCTGAAGGTCATGTTGAGGAGACATGACCTTGGTGTCACAAATAGCAGTGCAAGGAGAGAAGGGTGTGGAAGGGAGACAAGGGTGATTCTCTGGATAGGGGATGGCTGAGCTGAGCCACAGGAGGTGAGCGGGGAGAGTCTAGGTTTTTGTAAAGCTGAAAATCTGGAGAAAATTTTAGTGGGGGATGTTGGTACGTATTTCAGTGTTCAGGAAACACAAACCCTCTGGGACCCGTCCTGGGGGAATGTCATAGTTAATGTTAATTAATCTTCGCCAAGCAGCCATTAAATTCCAGAAACAGAGAGGCAGACATTGCTTTTCCCTGGATGCTCAGAAATGTGACTTTCATCCAGTGGATCATCAACAAATGTTTGATGCATTGAAGGATGCTCCAAAATGAGAAGTATCGATGAGAGCCCTGCCAGGCTGCCCTGCAATTTCTGGGCTATAAGGGAATCCCATGGGATCAAGATCAAGACTTTCACATGCACAGGGAAGCAGGACAAGGGCAACAAATGAATGAATCCAGGAAGTGTTCTGTTCTGGGAAGAAGCATCTCCCCAGGCTGGACAGTGGTGCATCAGCCATTGCCATGTTCCCCCCCTTCAATCTGCAACTCATGGACTATGCCACGTTGCTCACTCTGTCACAGTGTCACTGCGGACAGGGGCGACCAGCCAGCCAGTGAGTCTGCAGCTTCTGAGTGGAGTTTTCTGACTGTCACTGTATTGGTGGTTTTTGAAAAAACTTAAGGAGAAAGAAACATCAGTTGAAGTTGCCTACAGCAAGACATAGCAAGGTCACGTCCTGATAAAGACATTTTCTCAGCCCCGCTGTTCATCTCAAAAGAACAGAAGTGCTGAAGCAAACATTCTAGTGGAGGAGCTCTCAGGTGGCCTTCAGGTGAGGGGGTGAGGTAGGAACCCTCTGGGAGGGAAGGAGGCAGCAGGGAGAGGGAGGGTCTGTTTCATCCAGGAGGGGAAGGTCAGAGGGAGAAGGGACTGATTTTTGTGATGCCATGGGGTTCAGGTTTTCAATAGCCTTTTTGAGACTATTCCCTGCTGAGTTTGGACCCTATGTTCAAGGCCACTTCCAAACGGGTCCATGGAAAACACCTTCTCAAGCTAAGAGAGACTTTGACTCTTGAAACTGTAAATGTTAATTTTTATGAATGGTCTTGTATAGATAAAGAGGAGGGACGAAGGAAGGCATTTGGAATAGAAAAGTATAGAAGGGGCCAAGAGAAACTGAGGGCTTTGAACAAGAGGGAGAGGGGAGTTGGGTCAAGACATATCAAGAGTGTTGAGGAGCAGATTCCTAACATCTCACAGAAGGAAGCCGAACTTATTCAGTGTTAGCAGAAATGACAGACTGGCAATGGTAATCAGGAGGAGGGTCAGGCATGAGCTTCTCTCTGCTTTCTGCAGAGGTAAGGAGAAGCCAGGAGGCCAACTCAGAGCTGCTCGGGCTTGTAGGGGAGCACATGCAGGGACAAGGGGCCCAGACGTGAAGGGTTTGACTATTTCTTATCTTCCACGTGTCTCTTTTTCCATTAACAGCCACCTGTCAGCAGTTCACAGGCAGGCTCCAGACTCAACAGGAATGGAGGGAACTCTTTGCATCTCGTGGAAGGAAGGCCTCACATTCCCAAGTGGTCCGTTCTCCCTGAATGGATCCTGGCATTTGGCACAATTCCAGTCAAAATTGCAATAAGAGATTTTTGAACTTGGAATGATATTTCTAATATTTATTTGGAAGAATTTATTCTGGAGGAACAAGTGAAACTCACATGCACACAAAATAAGTAGCAAGTAGAAGCTTGCATTGTTAGATTTTGAAACATATTTTAAATCTAAAATCATTTGAACAGTATGAAGCTGGTGGCCAAATAGGTCAATGACAAAGAATAGAAAGCCCAGATACGGGTTTATTTTTGCCTTATCTGCTTTTAGGGGAGTGGCATTTCCATTTAGAACATTGAGTAATAGAGGCACATCACAGTTTGGAGCAAAGCAAATTGTCCCATTCGTTGCCATCATGGTGCAAAGACCGGGACAAGGGTATCACCAGCCAAGAGCACCATTTTTCTTCGGCCCCAAGTTCCCCTTTGTTTCATGTCAGGTCACATTGTGTCCAGTTGCTTAGCCATCTTCCTTTTGGTATTGAATGCTTTTTATAGCTGGAAGCCTGAGATCTCTCCAAGTTCTGTGAATGCTGACTTGCTGGTGCTCTCGGTTTTCTTTAAAGGTGTGAAGACAAAGGCGAAGGAGGGCAGTATGAAGCCTCTGACATCCAGCAGTGCTGGGGTAGGGGATGCAGTGTCTCCAGAATCACTCGTGGCTACTGCAAATGCTTTTCCTGTTTTCTGAAATTCATCCAGTCTCTTTCTACCCCACCACCAACATGGCCACCCTCTAGATTATCCTTGAGCATCTTGAGTCGGTGATTTTACTGAATAAACGTGGCATTCCAAGTCAGTGAGTAAAATGTAAGTCATGCAATCATCGACCCAGAAATCACCGAATTATTATTATTTTTCAATGAGTAATTATCAAGTGCCTTCTTGGGGGCAGGCCAGGCAAGGTTCTGGGTGCTGAAAACCAGCACGTGAACAAAACGTCTTTGCTGTCCCAGGGAGCAGTGAGTTTCTAGGGAAGGAGAGACACAATGAACTAAGAACCAGCCAACATATAACTTGACAGGTGGCTGGTGAAATGAAATGAACGGGAAATGAAGAAAAGTAAATCTGCCTCTCCATCATATTGTAATATGTGTCTGCACGTGCTTGGGAATTTAGTAGGGAAACAGGAGTGTACCTTTGCCATTTTTAAACAGAAGTCCTTGGGTGCCTAATCAAATCATTCCTGAACCATAATTTATGTGAGTGCCTCCACTGGGGAGAAGCTGGAAGGGGTGAGGTTAAGAGGGACTTCATGACTTTACAGGCAACAGAGAAGATAACACCCGAGAACATTACCCCTCAGCTTCCCTCACAGGGGCCGGTAGCCGATGTCTTTAATGGAGGGCCTCTCCCTGGAACATGACTGAACTGGGTACCCTTAAGGGATGCTGTGATTGCTCTATTTCTATAACGTCCAGTTGTTGTTGGCTTTAAGATGAAGGGTTTATATATCCTATTTTTATATATAGGGGTCTCCTTGCTTAGAAGTTGAATGTTGCATGATTTGGGATAAGCCAACTGAGAGGACAGAACTTGCCTCAACTTCTAGGCGGATCCTTGAGTTACCGAATATGAGTATACTGGGAAAATAGCCGCATGTCGGCTGGGTCTCTGACCACAGGGATTGAAGGAAACTCGGGCTATTTAAAAAATAATTTTTTTTCTTTAGAAAAATATGTTTACAAACGTGTGCTCTGAAAAAGGAGATTTTGGTCGCCAGTGGAGGCCACTCTGTTCCAGGGCCTCAGATGGCCTGCAATGTGAAGTCAGCCTTAATGGAAGAGCTTTACTTCTGCCCAGCCAGGACACCCTCAGCTTCTCTGTCAGCCACAGGGAAAGCAGTCTTGTTTAGTGTTCTTTATTTTTTTACTCACAGCCTCTTGTCCACTGGGTGACAGGAAAAACACCAACTTGGGTTTTGTGTTATTTACATTTTAAGATCCTAATTAAACTCCATCTGGTGCTGTTTATGGAAGGGAAGAGGCGTCTGATAAGCACAGCTGGGGAGGAGATTTTCCAGCGCTGCTGTCCCGTTGTTTTGCTCACTTTTTCCCAACACAGAGGACCGTCTGCAAATGATCAGAGAAGGGAAAGGAGTCTGAAGACAAAATATGGCTTCAGAATTTCACCGAGTCTTTGGATTTGAATGGAGATAGATCAATGGCATGGTATGGAACTTGAGACCCCAGGAGATTCTGGAGAGTCTACAACTCACTGCCTCTCCTTTAAATGCCCCCTGTCCTTCTCTTTCAGCTTCAGGCCAATGCTCATTCATGACCCAACTGAAGAGACAAAAGGAAAATTAAAGTATCTGTGATCAGAAGTTTGGGTCTTTAGATGGGGGAGGAACCCGAGAAGATATTCCACTGATATCCTGTTTTTCACCGACTAATCTGAGGTCTATTTGCCCCCATGACACACCTGTGTCTTCTAAGTCATCAACACTGGTCTACAGATAATGTGTTGGAAATGCACGTTGTTGCAAAGGACAACCGTTTCTTTTCTTGATAGCCAGGGACATGTGGGGTTAGGATCAGAACTCTCTGGGTCTTTAGTATCCTATTTTTTTTTTTTTTAAACATGGACTGGATAAAAGTTAAAAATAAATGAGAGTTCTTATTTACTCTGTGGATGAATTCTCCTACCTGGGCCTGGAGGCGGAGCCACGTTTTCTGTTCATCTCAGGGTCCCCGGAACTGTGTTCTGTAACAGGTGAGGTCACAAGTCTGTAGAAGGCCAGGCAGCCATTCAGATAACTGTGGACACCCTATGGGATGTGGTCATGAGTGTTCTCTGTGGAGGAGGATACTTACCTGGTGATGTGGAAGGAGAGCACCGTTGGAAAGTCATTGATGATGAAGCTGAGTATCCCCTTCCCAGTCAGGAGAGGTTTATAAAATGCTTGGGAGCCTCTTTCATGAGGCATGCAGGAATTCCAGAGGCAGGGTCACCTGACAGTGTTATAAATATGAGGGTAAGTGGGAAATAATGGGTGAAAATGGGAGCTGGCTGGGGGGGCATAGGAAAGATATAATAGGGTAAAGTTGGGGAGTATGGAAGGACAGCAGGCACTGTGGTCAGGAGGCTTCTGAGGGGGATGTCTGAGATCAGTAAGAGCCTAGGGCTTCTCAGAGCAGGTGTAGTTAACAATGTTAAGTGATATGAGCCTCAGTTTGAGGATCAAACACATCATTCTCAAAGTGCCTGTGTGACATGTTCACCCTTCACCTCACTTCTTGACCTGGCCTACCACCATTTTCAAAGGCGACTCTTCTTATTTCTGGGTTGAGACATGAGGGCAATAGGTACTTCATTGGAGCAGAGGTTTTTGCGTGTGTGTTTTGAAGCTAAAATATTATCAATCCAAACTAGATTATTATAAACTCAGGAGATCAATTGTAATCTGCATGACATTTAAGAAATAACTAAATATCTAAAATAAGTATATAGATATGTATATTCAAAAATATATAGAAAATAAAGAAGAGAATCAAAACCGTTCACAAGAACAAAATCAAGGAAACCTCAAAGAGTACTACATGCCAAAGAGTCCACCTTAAAGCATTTTGAAGTGGCTGATTGACAACTGGTTAGATGATTCTTAAACCTTTCAAGGGTATAAATGAGTCAAGACAGGGATGTTGAAGGAAATTTTTTTGAGAAGTTTTTTTGAAAAGAGCTTTTCTGAGAACACTTTACTTCCTCATACAGAGCAAGGAGTGTGTGTGTGTGTGTGTGTGTGTGTGTGTGTGTGTGTGTGTGTGGTGTTGATCACTTCAGGTCAACAAAAACATGCAAAAAACTTCATACATGTCACTTTCAGTAAGAACCACAATGGCTGGTGCCTGACTCCTCTATTTGAGTAAAGGGCGAGAAATGAGCTGGGCAGGGGTGGGTTGGGTGGATGAGCTGATCCACAAAGCAAGGTGGCTGCTTTGTACGCAGAACACTTCCAGAGTGTGTTGGGGCAAAGAAAATATTTCTGTGGACTGGAGGTGGGACCTGTGTGAAACAAGATGTGAGGTTATCGACGGACTTGTTTGAAAGGACTCACTGTGAAGGGAACTGGAACTCAGTGGAGAGAGGATGAAGGGGGTGCTAGCTTCTGGGGGACTACAGAAGGAGTAGGTGGCCACCTGGAAAAGCCAAGCATCTGAACACATGAAAGAAAGTGAGAGACCCCTCCTGATGGTCCAGGGATGGATTCTAAGGGATCATGAAAATGTCCCATCTGAGAATGAATCAGGTAAAAACATAAGCTATGCCCAGAACACAAGGCCACCTTCTCACAATGCCAGATCAGTAAGAACTTTCCTTATCTCTCCCTCTGTTTCAACCAGCCAACTCTGGAGGGGTCAGCACTGCATGTATTTGCAGAGGGAGGGGTGAACCAGGAAGAGGGAAGGAGCAGAACACCGTTGTCCTATCCACGGGTTTCTGCCTCACTGCAGGCCCTGGCTAGGGGTGATGGGGGACGGGTGTCAATACGGATGAAGACTGAGATGTAAGGTATTCTATGAAACAACATCTTAACTTCTGGAATGAGACTGTTTTATGACAAACTGACCACATGACTCTGTGTTACTTAAGAGTGACCACAAAAGTCACGGGATGGCTGACTTTTCTTCATGGGATTGTGAAAATGACCCCTCATGAAAGGGCTAGTGTGGGAATTTAGTACAGTTCCTTTGTGATTGAGTCCAACATCAGATCTTGGGCTTACACATTTTGATGACTGCTCAGTCTAAATCCTGCTGTGAGCTTGGAAATACCATTGCAAAGTTCATTGAAGAAGAAAGGAAAATTGCAGGAAAGAATAAATAGGTGAAGCTTAACCTGCCAGAGGGTATGTAAACATTGTAAATATTTACAGAAACTGAATACTGCTGGAAGGACCCAAGGATGGTTTGGCGAACCATTACTGATAGTGCAGGGACAGAAAACAGCTTATATGACAATTAAGGATATACAGATAATAGCACAAACTAGAAACAAATTGCTCACTGTAAAGTGCCAAGATGAATGGTTAACTATTTTGAAAAACATAAATTTGGATCTTTCAGAAAATAAACTCCAAATGATTAAATAGGTATATATAAATAATGAGCTATAAAATATTAGACAAACAAGTGATGAATTTTTTTCCAGATCATTCAATATGAAGCAATTATAGCAGATGTAAAAGAAAAGGATGCTAAAATTGACTTCATTGAAATATTTTTATTAAACACACTACAGTCAAAATTGAGAATATGGTGATACTTAGGTTTCTGCCAGTATGATGAAAGAGGCACCTAGACAGTCTCTGTCACTGAAAACAGAAATATTGGACCAAATATATTTTTTCAAATATATTTTTTAAAAACCCCAAATGCATACATGATGACACAAAAGAACATAAAGCGAAAATAAAATGAAAGTGGTACCTTTGAAAAGTAAGTGGAACTCATTATCTGGCTTTTATTTTTAAAGATTTTATTTATTTGGGGAGAGAGTACAAGCAGGGGGAGGAGCAAAGGGAGAGGGCGAATCAGGCTCCCTGCTGAGCAAAGACCCCCCCCTCCCAATGCGGGGCTTGATCCCAGAACCCTAGGATCATGACCTGAGCTGAAGGCAGATGCTTAACCGACTGGGCCACCCAGGCACCTCTATTATCTGGCTTTTGATTTAGGTATTGGCTTAGGCATTGCTTGTATAGTTTCAAATGTCATGGGTAGGACTCAGTACTCAACATCCATGCAAGTTGGAGTTCTGAATAGGAGACACCCTCCATACAGTTGGGATTCTAAAGAAATATATCATTTTAAGGGCAAAAACCCACCTCCCACATCAGCAGGGGAGTGCAAAAAATAACCATGGGAGATAAAACTTGGAATAAAATTGAGGAGAGGGGAATATTCCCTGAAAAATTGTAACAAGCTAGACCTTTTGCCTGTTTACAGCCTCCCAAACCTGCCACCTGAGAAGTCTACAAAAATCTCAATTTTCTCAAACTTTAGCTTAAGTGATTCTGGCAATTTTCATAAATGCCTGGCAGAAGCAAACACTGATTCCATCTGGAAGAATTTATCCTCATTCTCAATTAAATTCTGGGAAAAAAATCAGCAACTCACAATAAAAAAAATTACAAAACGCACAAAGAAACGAACCCCTTGAGTGAAAGCCAGCAGGCACAGAGAAACATCAGATTCTTGAAGATTTCAGATGTTGAAATTATCAGATGTGAAAAAAAAATCTGTTAAATTTCAAAATATAAAAGAGCAACCTGAACCTGAATACAGAACAAAAAGGTTTATAAAAGAATCAGATATTATAGAAGTTAAAAGTAATTGAAATTTGAAACTCAAGGGTTAGATATTTCTGCTTTCAGTCAAAATTGAGTGACAGGTACCAGATTTTTATACTTTTCCAACTAGAAGACCAGGCAAAACACAAGATTTTATGAAACAAGTTTTTAGGCATTGAGCAATAGGCAGAAAGAACTCCTAGCCTCAACAAGGATTGGAATAATTTGGTTCCCATCAAGCCCTCATGAGTGGAAAGCCCTCATGATACATGAGACATCAGATAAGTCCTCAAAAGGGCATCACCTTAATAATGGATTTAAATTAATGCTAGACTAAAGGCTACCCTGCACCTTCCCTAACAAAGCCTAAAAGCAAGTTTTCAAAGGATGCGACTGATTCCAAGAAACCTAACTATAAACCAGAATACAACCCATGAAATTGATTTATTTTTAATTAATTATTTATTTTAGAGCGAGTGAGAGAGAGAAGGAGGGGGAGGGGCAGAGGGAGAGGGAGAGAGAATCTCAAGCAGACTCTGCACTGAGCATGTGGAGCCCAACACAGGGCTTGATCCCATAACACTGAGATCATGACCTGAGCTGATATCAAGAGTCTGGTCGTTTTTGATGTAGCAATCCATGATTCATTGTTTTTGTATAACACCCAGTGCTCCATGTAGTACGTGCCCTCCTTAATACCTATCATGGTGACTAACAGAATAAAAATTAAAAAAAAAAAAGTGTCTTGCCGTTTAACCAACTGAGCCACCCAGGTGCCCCCTACAATCCACAATATTTAAAGGAAAAAAAATTCAGCAACCAACAATTTAAATTTTATAATGTCTGGCATCCTATCAAATTTGACAGGCATGTAAGAAGCTGGAAAATATGAACCATAGCCAAGATAAAAGTTATTGAGTAGAAACACATCCCCAAATGACAGAGATAATAAAAATAGCAAAGAAGGACAATGAAAACAACGATGACACTCCATGTGTTCAAGAAAGTAGAGGAAAACATGAGCATGTTGAGGGGAGAAATGGAAGATAGAAAAAAGACTCATGAAACTTTAAGAAATGAAAAATCTCTGAAAAGAAAAATTATAGACTGGGTGGGGTTAATAGAAGATTAGATGCTGTGGAAGAAAGGAACAGTGAACCTGAATACATGGTGTTAGAGACTATTCAAGGTGAAATACACAGAGAACAAATAAAAGACACCTT